AACTCGTCAACCTCAGATCTCGTGATCAGGTCATCCTCAACTTTCATATTTTGTGAGGATATTGTTTTCAGGTCTCCAGGTAAAGTGAGCTCGCCCTCCATGGGTACATTGTGTGAAGTCACCTCACGTGAGGTCATGTAATCCATCTCCAAATGTGATACCCCTTATCTCAGCTGCCTTTTCAACCTATCAAAGTTTGCCCTTCTGAAATCTGGGACTTTAATGGAATTTTCCTTGCATCTGCCAATAAATTCTAATTGAAACCTTATTTCTTTGTGATCGCTGTTTGCAAGTTCATTCCCTACCTCGACATTACTAATGAGGTTTTCTGTTTGACAGAACTTAATCGAGTACAGTATATTATTACCCCGGGTGGGTTCGGTTATATGTTGACTTAGGAAACAGTAATGAACCGTTTCAAGAAAATGATTCTGAGCTACATATAAGGTCGATCCAATCTATTTGGCTAAAGTTAAAGTCGCCTACTATACAGACTTTGCTATGTCTGGAAGCCCTGCGTATTTCATCCCAAATAAGTTGTTCATTAACTCAATCAAGATTAGGAGGTCTACATATTACTCCTGCAATAAATTTTTCTCTACCATCGATTAAGTCTATCCAAATTGTTTCTGTATTCAGTTGAGTTTTTATTTCCTCATTTATTTCAAACTTCAGATTATTTCTGACATAGATTGCTACTCTGCCTCCTTTCCTAATCTGCCTATTGGTATGGAATAATTTGTAACCTGCAATTTGGTATTCAACAGGTAACTCTCGTGAGTCTAAGTTTATCCATGTTTCAGTGAATGCATAGTAGACATTTAAGTTAGTCTTGTTCTAAGTCCTCTCTTTGACGCATTTAGGTTTTAACTCCCTGCCTAATTTAGTTTTGTCATCATTCCTAGCACTATTTCCCTGTAACCTTTCACTCTGTTTACCGGCTTCCACTGCAGTCTCCTCAACCTCAGTGCCCATATGTTCCCCTAGCAGTTTAAAGACTTCACATCTTTTGAATTGCCCTCTTGAGAGAGCCAGCCAGGGTTGCCACCTCTTCCCCAGACAGATGCACCCCATCCCAAGCAAAAAGGTCCCTTCTGCCATAAAATTTGTCCCAGTTGTCAATGAGTGGGACTGATATTGACTTGCAATATCTGTCAAGATGGCTGTTGACACCAACTGCCCTTGACAACCATTCATTGCCAACTCTCCTTCTAGGCAGGACACCACATATGATAGGGATCCCTCCCTTCAACCTAATACGATCTATAGCTGTCTTGAACTTATCAAGAAGCTCCTCACTTCTACACCGGCCAATATCATTGCCTCCTGCACTGAGGCAGATAATGGATTTGTTCCCATTACCAGACAAGATATTGTCTATCCTGTCACTATATCCCCCACCCCAGCCCCTGGCAAACACACCCTCATCCTATTTATATTTTTACGACAAAAAGCTCTGTCCAGGTACCGTACCTGGAAATTGCCAACAATTAAGGTTTTCATACCTTCCCTCTCAGCGCTGTCCCTGACTATGCTAAAGTCCAATTCATCTATCAGAGGGCTAGAAGAGTTTTTACACTTAGCTGTTGTTGTTTCCTTGGTGTCTTTTCTCACTACAATGTAGTACCATTTTGGTCGTTCTTCTCCTCACAACCTTCCATTCGCCTGAGTTTTATTCAGACAAGGACTTTCCTTGTCTCGTGTCTTCTTCCTTCATCCTCTCTATCACTTCCTTTAATTTCAAATTTACTTCTTTGACCTTCTCTAGCTCAGCCCTCAAAAGGGCACAGCCCTGTTCACTAGCCATTGCCAACAATTTATCCCCGGGATCTAAGTCTGCCGTGACCTTTCCTCTAGCGAGGTCAGAACACAACTGAATCATTGCCATTTCTATAGTAAATAGTGCATATATATATATGCAACTACTAAGTTTGTATTGGTACTCACTGATGGGCGGAGGTGGTTGAGCGAGTGTGTGGTAGGTAGTGAAGCGGATGGTGGGAGGGGAGGAGTATGGCAGGAGCGGAGGAAGAGGGTGGTGAGTCACTGAGATTCTGCCGAGCCGAGAGAATATGATGCGCCGTAAAAAGTAGCCCGTGACGATGCAAAACAATGTTGTACCGAGTCATCGGGACGTTAAACAAATTTTTGGTATCTTAAGATTAACAACGTAGTACCAAAACAACGTTATGCGGGCCGACGTTATACGAGGACTTACTGTAATTGCAAAAATTAAGACTTAAGCGAATCTGAAATTCGTCGTATTTCGTGTTTATATATGTGAACACCTGTAAACAACACAATGTAGCCACGAGACGGGAGGTCATACATAGTGGAGGCTGTGGAGCACCTTTCCTGTAGAAAAAATGGATCAAGCCATGTAAGTACAGGTGCCCCTCTACTTATGAACGTTCAACTTACAAACTTTCAGAGATACAAATATCATCACTGAGGGGGGGTTACCTGCCAGAACAGGTGTTTAATGTGGATGAGATTGGATTATTTTGAAGAAAATTCCAGATAGAACAAACATTACCTAAGAGGAGAAGAGTGAGCCAAGTTTTAAGGCTGTATTAAATATCCATAATCTTTTCATTTTTTACAATATGTTTGGTATCTACAAGAGTAAAGTTGGACTTACAAACAAGCCTCAGGAACATAACTCGTTCGTAAGTAGAGGAGCACTTGTAATGTAGGAAAGATATTACACCAATACCTCTCAAATCCTTGATTCTTACAGTATAATTTGCTACTGAAGTATAAAGCTATCACAGTGTCCTTTACATACAGTTCTCCTAATTTTATTGTTTTCTGAAGACTGTGTTGTACAATAGTTATTCCCAAACTGCGGTACGGTCGTATTTTTTATTGACAGTCCGTGAAAGTTAACGCGTCAGCTATTCCATGCATCTTAAAACATTTTACAAAAAACACATATAGTTTCCTTCTACAAGTTATTTCTATACAGTATTAACCTCTGTGTATGGGGTCTTCTCTGCTGATTAAAATCGTCTGGTGTTCACCAAATAAAATTTTTGAAAGTGGTGTCCCCATAGTGAAGGGGTTAATCAGGTTGTTCCTAAACTTAAGTGAAGATGATTTATGCAAAATATTGAACCTACACTGACCCAGTCACTATTCCTCTACCATCTTGGCCTTTTCTGAATGGTTTTGTCTCTACTCTAGGGTAGTAAATATTGTCTGTTTATATTAAGAGAGTGAATGAAAACAATAATGAAATTTGCAGAAAGCTAGGTAGATAGGAAAGGGAAATACCGTAGAAGCATAGAAGACAACACGATAAAAATAATGAGCAATTCCTATCTGATATAATTTTATGCTAAAGAATGTATGCTTATTGTTACTTCTGAAAATGAACCTACAATAAGAGTTTAAAAATTGGTGAATTCCTACCCAAAATGCATACTTTATTTTCCAAGAGTACAGTGCTATCTTACAGAATGCAAGTACAGTACGTACTTTCAACTTAGAGGAGGCATCTGATGTGCAACATTATTTCTTTAAAAAATCATAAAAATTATTTAGTATATACAGTACACTGTTCAAGTTCAGAATACATAATCATACATATGCTGTATACTATACACTGTGTACTGTACAGCCTAGATTTTAACAAAGAACGGACATACTATCAGTTTCACAAATTCCACGGTGAAACATCTGAGTGAAACTGAGAAAGTGGCAGCAGTAAGGTTTCTCTTGAGAAGCTCAGGAAGCCATAATAACATAAGGTAATAGGATATAGTTTATCAGGCCAAGACAGTCTTGCATTTATGAACCCATATTCTTGATATGAATTCTGCAGATGTAAATGTAACTGGAATATGTTAAGACAAGTATTAATTTAAGAAATTTTCAAAGCTGTAAAATATTCTTTACAAGTGTCTCCCTTTTAATGATGAGGAACCTTCTGCATTCACCCCATCAATACTCTAGCCATACTCAGGTGAAGCAGATCAATAAATTCCACATGAGTTTCCAAATACTGCCAGTTCCCTAACTTATATGTACACTGTATTTTTTCTTTTAGATTTCTATTTCTGTCCTCCACATTATCTAGTGCATGGATACTAGAGGTAAGATAAGAAAGAAGTCATTCATGAGACAAGTCAAACCAATGCCTTATGGATGATGTTTTGAAAGAAGACTATGATGCCAAAATACCATATACTCAGTATACTGTAAGTGCAACCAAAGAATAATCAATAGCTTTTGTTAGCAGTCAAAATTCTGAATGATAGAAAATGGAAGATTGAGGAATGATATACCGGTACTTTATTATGAGTTATGACTGAAGAGATGAGCCATAAGGTATTGGTAGTACAAAAGACCTGCGGGATGTGCCCCTGCCAAGAACCTCTTGGCCAGAGGCCACTTTTTCCCTGATGAAGTGCAGTGCTCAACAGTAGGGGACAATATCCATGCAAAATGAAATGCTACAAGCACATTGCAGTCTCCCCATCCAACTGAATACATTACTGTACAAACAAATTCAATGGATGTTTAAGGCAGTAGTGGGGAAAATCAATTTAAAATCTCGAATAATACAACAAGTTCACTAAAGACACACTAACCACGTGGGAAGGTCATAACACCATCCTAAATTTCCTGATCACAGCTAACCTAACTTGAGTCCTATTGAGAGACTATGAAGGGATATGGCAACTAAATACAGTATAAAATTGTTATTTGTACTGCAGCCACAAAGTAATGTCCAGTATTTACTATATGTACTTACTCCTAACTAATACTGTACTAAGTTAAAGGAGGAGACCACATATGACTTGAAACAAATTTTGAGTAAAATCACTTCAGGAGACCATACATTTTTAAATAAATACAGTAATACCTTCATCCTCTTCGCCACTGATCAGCTAGTTCGCATACAACAATGAACAACTACGTACTTCTCATTGATGCATGAGTAAATATAAACTAATTAAAAAGTGAACACATGAATAAAAATATTCTAGGATTACCATATCTTCAAAGATGGGTTTGAGAGGATCCTCGGTAAACACAATCATCATGAGAGGGCTGTGAGATAATGCTGCAGCAGACTTGAGCATAATATGAGTCTCATTTAGGCGATCCCCACAACATACGACTGCTAGAACCATTCTGAAAGGGAAAATGAGATCAAGGTCTCCATAAATTTTTGCTCCCTTGAAAATATAGATCAAATTTACTAGTTGGTAAAAGCATTTTTTAGCAATTAAGTTAAAATTTTTGCTTCGCTTTCCATATTTTTCATTCTGACATATTTGCTCATTCCCACTTCCAATGGACCCCAGGGGTGTGATAATTTCTTTGTTGACTGTAGTACATGTACAGTCACGGTCAAGAGTAATCATCCGCCCCGCCTACTACCATCCCAGCGAGCTCAAGGCCTTTCTACATGATGGGTTACAAGAGGGTGGCAGAGGTATTGATGGGTGAAGAGCTAGGGGTGGCTGACCTGGGTAAGGTAGGAGGGTACAAGTCAAGGGCCACATATGTAGTGAGAGTGTATGTGGTCTTAGAATTATCCTTAACACCTGAAGAAGGTGTTAAGGTTGATGGCCTTAACCCTTAAGCCCCAGGTTAGGGTGCTGCTGGCAGTGCCCCCCACGCGGGGTTAAATCGAGAAAAAAAAATCAACATTTCCAAAATTAATTAAAAAAATAAATAAAATAAAAAATTGGCGGGAAAATAGGTGGACGTTCTGGTACGTCACCCGGGGTGCGCTAGTAGGACGTTCTGGAATGTCACCCGGGGCCTAAGGGTTAATGACCCAGGCAGGTGATAGGCCTAAGGCCCAAACAACCAAGGTGTCAAGTGGAATTAACTTTCCCTTAGTTATCTATGCCTTTATTTGAGATTTAGGAGAGGAATGGGAGTGAGATTTTGGTAGGTATATAATATGTTAATAGGGTTAATAATGCTTCCGTGAGGGAACACCCCTGATATGACAACATAAAGAGAGGAGAGGGTGTGGCTTGCTCACCACCAGGCTGTCACTTGATCACTTCCACCTCTCACTACTACCGTTCTTGAAAAAAAAATCAATATTAATATATATAAAAAAAATATATGAATTAATTTTTTGATAAAATGTGAGTTCTCCACCCTGTTATATGCTTATTAGAATTGTAAAAATCAATGCAAGTGATTGTGGTAGTGGCAATGGTGTTTGGCCACTGCTCCACACCCAGCCCAGGATGGACACTAAAGAATGTCAATTGGTGAGTTGCAGGACGATCATCGGTTTGTGCACAGCTGGCTACAGTGTGTGTCGCAAATTGCAAGGGAGGTTGGGGTCACTGTGAGATGTTGGTTAACCCGCTGGGAAGAGTCTGGGAACTTGGCTGCAGTAAGTATTTTTGATGGTTTGCTGACATTTGATAATACAGTACTGTATTAAAATGACTACCCAGTAATTTCAGATTTGAAATAAAAACAAAACATATTAGAATTCTTAATTCATATAAATTATATAATTTTAGGCAAGGGAGACCACGATTGATAGGCGAGTAGTGCAGTGGACAGGTTATTGAGATTCTGCATGGCCTGTGTTGGTAAATATTAGCAATAAATCTGATTTCCACCCTCATATTCAATATTTCTCCTCATATCAATGTTATTATAAATATCTAATTACAGTGATCTCTCGGTTTACGAACGCCTCGGTTAACGAATTACCTTCCATAAGATTCTTCACTTCGGTTCACGAAAATATTTCGGTTAACGAATTGCTTACGAATTTTTCCCAATATGTTTTCGCCTGCTTTTGCCTGCTCACCAGCTGTAGTACTAGTCCGCCAATACAGTAATTGGTTTTAGGGCTTAAATTCGTTACCATTTGAGTAAATATCAAGAAGGTTGTACTATTCAATAATTTTCCAAGTCTTATATTAAACTTTTTAGTCATTTTAACAATTATCTAACATAATTGAAGTACAGGGAACTAGTTTTTAGTGCGCCAAACAGCCACTTGACTCACCCAGTGCAGTGTTGATTTAAAGAAAATAATCTTGAATTACACCAAGTGAACTAAAATTTTATGGGTGAAATGGCAGCATGGGGTGACTTCTCTTCCACCCCAATGCCTTCTCTTCTCCCTTCTCCTCCACCCCCATTCTAATTCCCATCATCATCATCAACCAGGAGCCTTCTACATGCACACCTCAAAGTAAGTGTACTTTCCTGCATTTATTTTTAGTTTGTATGTAATTTTCGGTGAGCTGGAACCAATTACCCAAAATCCCATTGAAACAATGGTTTCGGTTAATGAAATTTTCGGTTAACGAACAACCTTCTGGAACGAATTGTGTTCGTTAACCAAGGGACCACTGTACAGTTGTTGAAAACTTAAACCACAACCTAAACAAATTATAAATAAGGAAATAGATGGCACATTATAATAAAAATAAACTAGGGTCCTCCTCCTTTACTCTTTCAAGCATGTAAACCTAAGATAATACTGTTTAGTGAAAATAAAACTTACATCCATCCTTCCCTTCCTTCTTTCATGAACTTCCCTGCTTTCCTTCAATCTCCTCCCTCTCTGATGAGGAAATTGGATCGCATACCACCCACCCCACCCCAACAAACAGTCCTCCCCCAAGTCGACCATTCCCTCTCTCCACCCTTATGATTACTAAATTAGCCTCGGCCAACAAATAATCCCATCAGCACTAGGATAGGGATCCATATGAACAGTCTAGTAAAGTAAAAATAAAAAATAAGGGGTTATTAGCTTGGTCAGACCCCAGTAGGAACGGGTGAGGTCACAGGTGACACAACAATTGATCATGACTATAATATATTCACTTGTATAACACTACGTAAAGCACAAGAACAAAATACACAATACAGAAAAATTAGGTCAAATAAGAATGAGCCAAGGTGGATGACCAGGAACATAGGTATAAAGAAAGGAATTTATAAGAAATTAAAGGGAAGGTAGGAGCAGCTCAGAAATAGGTATAATGAACTATCTAGGAATGTTAAGAAAACTGTAAGGAAGGCAAAGAGGGACTATGAAAGCAGGATAGCAAGAGAATCCAAGGTGAATCCCAAGGAATTTTTCCAGGTACAGTATAGTCTGAATTTACGCGGTTTTGGTTAACGCGTTTGGTCATTTACGCGGTGCCTTGCCAGAATTGAGACGCTTTAATTAGGCGGTAAATTTGGTTATTTATGCGGAGAGCAGCTGGCGGTTCAGCCGCGCGCCATCTTAGATTCAAACCTCCCACCATGCCTGACTTCAAGTGGGGGGAAGCGGCGCGAGGAGGGGTGCGCAGTATGTCGCTGTTCCGTTATCGGTGACGTCATATGACGTATCGGACTGTGATTGGGCCACGCATCCTTACCTCCCTCCCCCGCTAGCTGTGATTGGTTTAATGTAATATGACGTGCCCTGCCACGGGAAGGAAGAAGCCACTGACCTAGCAGGGCCTGTTTCATTGTTCTCAGTCCGCGTATACAGTTCTCTCTTGTGCCCACTATTCCCCTCACAACTCACAATGGCTTCCGCGGGACCCCCACCACCAGAGAAAAACATCGAATTACCTGGACCAAGCCATGATTGTGTGAAGAAAATCATCAAGTTGGGGGAGAAAATTAAGCTCATCCTTAACAACGACCCAGACAAGCATAGGTATGAAGCGTCAAATAACCATCTGACGAAAGTTATGGAGCCGTATATCCAGATCTATCTCGACAACATCAATGCTAGTCGTCAACGTAGTATTGAGGACTTCCTCGCCCGCAACCCACCACAACCACAGCCAGCCCAAGTCAGTGATCGTGATAGTGATAGTGAGGATATGGATTTTGAAGGGTTTGTCTGGGAGGCCCTGCAAACCTCTGCGAGTAGTGAAAGTGAAAGTGATTAACCGGAGGGCAACTAATCTGCCCTCTGCCTCGGAACCAGCCGCCATCCACGTGTGCCGACCCATGTTTTCTACTAACGTAAGTGTTAAAAAACCTAATATTATTGGTATTTCTCTTAGTTATTAATTATGTGTGCATACCATCATAAAATTAAGATGTTATTTTTACTACAACGTACGTATTGTGTCGGCAAAAAGTGGAGTTTGGGGATAAGCCCAGTCTCTATTTCAATTAATCCTATATGTTCTGTTATTTCATTTACGTGTTTCTTGTTTTATGCGGGCCTCCACGGGTTCAATTGACCGCGTAAATCCAAACTATACTGTATATAGGACAAAGGTCAAGGACAAAGTGGGGCCTTTAAAGTCAGAGAGAGGGGAAGTGATCGATGACAGTGAGAAAATAAGCAAAGCATTAAACAGCTACTTCTTACCAGTTTTCACAGAAGAAATTCACGAGGAAATTCCAGAGGTGGAACTGATATTTAGGGGAAATGAAGAAGAGAAATTAAAGAATATCACTATCAGAAAAGAGGATGTTCTTAAGAAGATAAATAAATTAAAGAAAAAAAATCCCCAGGGCCGGATGAAATTTTCCCTCGAGTTTTGAAAAAGTGTAAGGAACAGATTAGCAGACCCCTCGTAAATTTATTTACAAAATCATTAGACACGGGAGTTGTGTCAGACTTGTGGAAACAGGCAAATGTAGTACCCATATTCAAAAAGGGAGACAGTGCATCAGCGTCAAATTACCGGCCGATCAGTTTGACATCAGTTGTGGGGAAATTTCTTGAATCAATTATAGCAAATAGCGTCCGATCGCATTTAGAGAAAAGCAAATTAATCTACGACTCTCAACATGGGTTTACAAAGGGAAAATCTTGTCTAACAAATCTGCTGATGTTTTTTAGGAAAGTCTTCGAGGTAGTAGATAATGACGAAAATTATGATGTTATTTACTTTGACTTTAGCAAAGCGTTTGACAGAGTACCGTATCAGAGACTTCTGAGAAAAGTTAAGGCTCATGGTATCGAGGGGAAAGTTTTAAATTGGATAAAATCATTGCTCACTGATAGAACACAGAGCGTCAGTGTAGAAGGTGTTAAATCTGAGTGGGGCTGTGTAACTAGTGGGGTTCCCCAGGGGTCAGTACTGGGCCCACTCTTGTTCATAATCTACATAAACGATCTAGATACTGGGATCAGCAGTGACATAAGCAAGTTTGCGGATGACACCAAAATAGGGCGGCAGATTAATTCAGGGCAGGATGCAAATGCACTACAGGAGGATTTAAATAAACTGCAGGAGTGGTCAGAAAAAATGGCAAGTGCAGCGTACTTAATATTGGAAGAACAAATATTGTCAATGTATATAGCCTTAACAACATCAACCTAGAGAAGTCAACTTGTGAAAGAGACTTAGGGGTGCTTGTAAGCCCGCACCTACATCCTAGAAAGCAGTGCGTTAATGTTCAAAATAAGGCAAACAGAGTATTAGGTTTTATATCTAGAAGTGTAAGTAATAAGAGTGCAGAGGTCTTATTGCAACTATATATTGTACTATATTGCGCTAGTCAGGCCGCACCTCGATTATGCTGTTCAGTTCTGGTGCCCTTATTATAGAATGGATATCAATTTACTGGAGTCGGTGCAGCGAAGAATAATGAAAACGGGTTCGGGACTTAGAAACCTTCCATATCAAGATAGGTTAAAGAAACTAAACTTGCATTCCCTAGAAAGATGAAGAGTGCGAGGAAATATGATAGAAGTATTTAACTGGGTGAAAGGAATCAATAAAGGAGATATAGATAAAGTTCTTATAATATCTGAGCAGGATAGGACTCGTAGCAATGGATAAGTTTAGGTTTAGGAGGGAGATAGGAAGGAACTAGTTCACAAATAGGGTGGTGGAAGAGTGGAACAAGCTTAGCAACTTTGTAGTAAGTGCTGGAATGGATGATAAAGAGTGGTAGTAACCTCGACAGGAGCTGCCATGCACCGGCCTATTGCAGACTCCTTATTTTCTTATGTAAACCTACTAGATCTAAAGTGTAATATAATTACTGAAAGAACATTTTAATGTCGCAAGCAGTATGTACACCTTCCCAGTTGTCTGCCTTGAACTAATTCGATTAATTAGTCCTGTCTGATCATAAAATTCTCGTGACAGTTTAGTGAATGAAACTAAGATACAAAAGGTAATTCCCTTTCTATTCTAGCATGCATGATCAATTTACACTCTTACTTGTTTGCTGTGCTTCTGACAGATGACTGAAAATTCTTTTTCGTGTTTTTTATTTCATGGTGAACTACAGTTGGTGTGAGAGCTTTCAAGTCAACTGTTTTATCTTTCTTCTCCTGATTGGACGGTATTAACTTTGTCTTGTAAGCTGTTCTGGGATGCTCAGTGATCTTGAATGGTTGTTGGTGTACTTGAGTGGCAGTTGTCAGAACACTCTTATTAAATCCACCAAACTTGACCTCCGACCGAAGAGATTCAGATACAGAACTTGGGTTTCTAAAGTCAAGTATTCTCGTAAAGTCCCCAGTCACCCCAAGCATTACTAACAATGAAAATACCCCACCAATTAAGACTAATAATCTGTATGTACATTTCATTTTGGCAGGACAAGTCTCCGCTTCACCTCACACCAAGGCCTTCATCTCACTCTCTCCAGCAGCCGTCCCTCAGCAGCCTCACTACCCAGAGGTCCTCGTACTATCTAGATAATATCACAAAAGTATCATAAATTTTAAAATATTATTTCATAATTTGGTCACAATTTAATATAATAAAGGTCTGAATAAATCTTTAATAAGTATTTAAGGTTATTTCTATTGTATACACCCATTCATCTTACGTCAGCCAACACTGTAGAGCCTGTGTTTGTTGACAAGTTACTGAGGCTCATACACTAGTTATATATTAATGTATTCAGGGATTTTAGTCCATATAATACAATTTTCATTTTAAATTTCAGTCATTTATTTTTTTATTAATAATATATATATTTTTTTTTAGATAATACTTAGTAAGGAATTAGTAAAATACTTACCAATTATATATATTAGTGAGTAACGGACTAAACGAGTCTTCCAATAGTTGCCGCGGCAATCTTTAAATGGAAGGACAAAACAAAATAATTGTTAAGAGTAAGAGGTGTATCACAGGTCTCTCTGTGTCCCATTAGCAAATATCTCTTGTCTTGGCTCTGTAACAGACGCTGTGTATTTACTCGCAGTGGTTGATTAATTTTGAATGGTTGGTAATAGTGGAACAGACGGCAAACACCACATGTTCTTGGGTTGATAGCAATAAAAACGATACAACTTTTTCTTTTAAATTTAAGTATTTTTTTCTCGTTTTACTCTGGCTTTGATCATAAACCACCTGTAGTGGGCAGGGCATGAAAGAGAGAAATCGCTGGGTAAAAACACAGACAGGTCCCACCACTTGTAGGCTGCTATTGCTGCCCTCTGACAACACTACCTCAACATTAAGGTAAGTTCCTTCTAAGGTTTAGGTGTGAGATAGGTAAACAGGGAATAGAGTAGTGGATCATTGGAACAAGTTACCGGCCTATTGCAGACTCCTTATTTTCTTATGTTCTTATGTAGCTTCAAATATAGGTTGGACGGATAAATGTGCAATAGGAGTTGGGTGTAAAAGGGATAATTTTTCGTTAACCACCCATTGCCCTTTTTAAGCTAGTTTTCTTGCTTTTTAGGTGATTCTGTCAATTATGTTTGGGGAATTTTTTTTTTAGAATTAGGATAGGTGATAATTATATAGGACTAACCCTCGGGCGAAATTGATTGAAAACAATTATAAAAACGCCGGATTTTCATTGTTATATTATAGTGGACACTGTTGTAGTTTGTGGAAATATGTTAAAGAAACGGATATTTTTAAATTAAACGCTACTTAACATTTATGGTTATGAAGAACAGACCTAACCAATCGATCAAACCAAACAAACCTACCTAACCTAACCTAACTTCCCGGTATATTAAACAGAAAGAACTTACTATGATATGGCGAAATTTGAGACATTTTTGGACATGAGATGATATGGCCACATTGGCACTATGCAGCCTGGTGGGTTTGTTCTATTTATTAACCGGTTAGGTTACCTGACCTAACCTAACTAAACAAAAATAAAGTGATTTGCCCCAAAGAGAAAGGTCAGAATCATCTAAAACAGCAAGAAAACTAGTGAAAAAATATATTTTTCGGTAAATTTGTATTAGTGTACACAACTCGGTTAGAAAGTCCAAACTATGTTTTTCTAGTGTATTTTTGTGTTTTGATTGGTTCTGACCTTGATTTCCGCCGGAAATTGCCTATTTTTTTGTTATCGGGTGTTTTGGGTGGGGCGTTTTCCGACAAAAAACATGGGCAAGCGAATACAAAATGCACCAAAAAAACAAACTAGAAAAATATATAAACCTTACCTTTTTTGGGATGACCTAACCTAACTCTCACCATATGATGGAATTACTTATTTTTTACCTTATTGGCCTGGTTCTGGTTCCTTTGTAATCACTGACGGTGTACGAACACCAATGTCTCTTCTTTGTTTTGGGAATAAGGAACGAGTTACTACAATGCCAACTATGTTGGTCTTGATGATATTTACACTTGTTCTTACACTTAGGACACTTTACTGATGTCGGGAGAACACCATGAGATCTAAAAAAATGCTATAGCTTGTTCTTTTTTTTTTTCCAAAAAATGCGCAATCAACTCCATATAATTGAAGTGACACCCATCGCAGACTTCCATGGCGGAAGATTAATGGAAGAAAATCGAGAAATATCTGGCATGTGCTATCTCCGTTATTATATGTTTGCGACTGTAATGTAATTGAAGAAAATTATCTAAAAATCAGACGTCTTATTCAAATATGATAATAGATTTGGGGTAGGAAAGATGTGTGCACTAATAAAAAAATACCTATTTTTCTTGTGAAAAAAAGGCTAAAACTAAACCTAACCTAACCTAAAAAAAAAGAAAAGTGATTTGCCCCAAAGATAAATATCAGAATCATCTAAAATTGCAAGAAAACAGGAGAAAAAAAAATTTTCATGTGAAAAAAGGTGATGGATGGTTAACGAAAAATGACCGTAAAAGGGACTGCTCAGTATGGGCCAATAGGCCAGCTGCAGTTTTCTCCATTCTTATGCTCTTACCGCCAAAAGGAGTTGTTCAATTTTGTTAATTTTTCCACAGATGTTCTTATAGTAACTATTTTAAAAGAGGTGTCATTAACTAGAACCTAATTGAACCTGATCTAACCAACCAAAGAAACCTGCTGTTAAACTGGGGGACTTCATACTGACGTATTAATTGTTTTGGTGTTTATATTCTTACTATATTTACATCAGTGAGTTCTGATAAAATATAAATTTTTATGGGAATTGTTTTGTTTGGTAGTTAATTAGGCGACTGTGCGAACTACTTTGTCTTTCTCAGCGTGATGCTGCAGTACACAGCCTATCATCTCCAATCGACGCCAGTCCCCAGTGTATGTTTATGAGCCACACGGATTAGGCAGCTGCTCTCACGGCCATAAAAAACTTAAAATTACAGCTAGGAAGTTAGGTAGGTTGATGAGGTCTTCTAACAATGCTTTTGCTGCTTGTTTTTCTTATCAACTAAGGGTTAGGTTAGGTTTAATTTAGAAATAACCACTTTTTAACACATTTTCCATAACTATTACGGTGTCCACAATAAAACACAGTGAAATAGCGTCATTTTTAAATTTGTTTTCTGTGAAAAATCAGTTGTCAGTTTATAGTAGAGGACATAATGCAATTTGGATTTGGATTTTTTTATTTTTTCTAATAAGTTCATACAAAAACAAGACAATTTTCATGTACAGTATACCATTTTTGGTGGTCTTTGTTCGTAATCGAGATATGGGAGTTGAAAATCAGAAAACTAGTAGAAAAATTCTAAGCAGTGGCGAGAAATGATGAGTCTTTGTTTTATTTAATAATAAGTTAAGACAAAACAAGACGATTTTCTTACTCACAGATGACGTTCTGGAAAGAGGCTGTTACACCTGTGCATCCGGCTCTAAACTTTCAGCTGAATAAGTGGTGGTGGCAGTCAAGATAATTTTATTGAAGTGAATTTTGACTTTGTAATCATATAGCAGATCCTGGTTTCTCCAAATTTCTTTCAAAACTTAAGACTGACTTAGATCCAATTACATACTGGGGTAACATTCCAATTATTTATTACTCTATTACAAAACGAGTACTTTCTCTTGTTTATTCGTGATCTACCATTAAATATATTCTTATGATGACCTCTAGTTGTCTGGTCCTCTCGCAATTTTAAGTTATCCTGACACACTTCTGGGTTGTACACACCACAGAATCTTGTATGTTTATATCATGTCTCTTCTTGCTCCTCTATAGGCTAGCGTGGGTAATCTCAGCTCTTTCTTTCTAGCTCAGGTTCTTCAATGTTGGTACCAGTTTACTTGCTCCTTGCTGCACGTTTTCTATTGTTTCTATATCCTCAATTTTATCCTCAATTAAATATGGACACCAGACTTGACCTCCAATTTCCAGATGGGGTCAAACAAGTGCCACATATAAAGGTTTGAAAATTTCCTCATCCAGGGATACACATGTACGTCTTATGAGGCCAACTATCCTATTCGCTTTGTTTATTTTCTCTGCTAGATGTTCTGAGAAATTCAGCTTGTTTTCAATTACTACCCCTATGTCCTTCTCAGAGTACACTTATGTCATTTCCTCGTACATACTGTATCCGTTACTATTTACATTAGACGTTCCAACTCTCATGTACTTGCATTTCTTTGGATGAAATCCAAGTAGCCACTTTTCGATAACCTTTCTCTTAAAGTTTATCCATGTCTTCTTGATTTGTAATTTGTCTGTAAACCTTGTGTCATCCGCATACAAATATACCTCACTCCCATTTCTGATAACTTCTGGCAAGTCATTTATGAAGATAACAAACAATAATGGTTCCAACACAGACCCCTGAGCAACTCTGCTTATTACCTCTTGCCAAGTGACACTTTTTTCACAGTTTACCCATAACCGAGATATCACGAGTTGAAAATCAGAAAACTACCGGTACTAGAAAAAATCTAAGCTATTATTGCATTTCTTGCCACCAACCAAATCTTGTGATTTTTCTTTGCAAACAATAGTTTAGACAATTTGATAAAATTTTAGTTTGTTGTCCCTGTATGTAGATATCCAAATTATGATTTTCCGGCGGTTTTTGACGTGTTTTGACCTAATCTAACCTAACGTAGCCACAGAACCTAACTATAACGACAATTCTAAGGCTCTTTTATTCTATGACATTTCCCTCACAAACGACCTACAACCGAGATATTTACTATGTCTAAGGGGTAGATCCCCCTGGTTAGCAAGTTAGGTATGTTTGGTTGGTTACAATAACTTAAGTAATAATGCGTGTTTGATAGCACCAACCAAACCTACCTAACTTCCTAACAAGGGGGCTCCACCCCCAGTCATTTATAAGGGAAATGTCATCAAAGAAAAGTGTCTTAGAATTGTCTAAACTACAGGTATAGTTTGCAAATAAAAAATCACAAGATTCATTTGGTGGCAAGAAATGCAATACAGTAAACCCTTGATAACTCAGCAGTTGATAAATCGGAATTTTATATAACTCAGCATAGATATGGTCTCGGAATGTATTATAGTATAACTCAGGAAATGCCGAGATATATGTAATTATCTGGGAAAATCGGCATATCTGGCCACCTGTGTCACCTACCATGCCTCTGTGTCACCTACCATGCATCTGTGTCACCTACTATGATGCTTCATTCCATGCCAGAAGTGCTGGTAAGTGTTAATTTTTTACATTTAGTAATTACATGTACACATATATGGGTCTATATTTTTTCATTGTATTTTTGTAGGAGGGGGAAAGTGCCTCGAAGTTGGAATTTGGGATAACTCGGCAAGGCTAAAGCCCCATATGTGCCAAGTTATCGAGGGCTTACTGTTATAGCTTTTCTAGTAGTTTTTTATCTTCATCTCCCAATATCTCAGTTAAGAGTAAAGACCGCCAAAAGTGTTATAGATGAAAATCGTGGTGTTGTTTTTTTGTCTGAACTTAACATTAGCAATAAAAAAATCCAATACAGGTATCACATTCTGCCCTCTACTATAAATTGACCATTTGTTGAAACAGCATGATGTAATTTTACCCCTTTTTTTTTTCGGTGGACGTGAGAGTTTGTTCAGACTGACCGGGTTGGTTGAAGACAAACTGAGCAGACGACAACATGCGGTAACTCAACAGATTTGTGGGAGGAGTATTTACAGTAAATAATTAATTTCTTCATGTACAAAGTGTGTATAGACATCATTTTTGTGTCACATGATTGACTTTTCACCACATTTTACTCCACGATTTCCCTCAACATTCTTGCCCTGCCCACTACAGGTGATTTATGATCGTAGATAGAAAAACTAAAAACAAAATACTTATACAGGTACTCCCCGACTTACGACGGGGTTAGGGACCGACATCCAGGTCGTAAGTCGAAATGGTCGTAAGTCGGAAATGCTTAAATAACACAAAGAAAATCGAAAATTAGGGTCTCTTTTTCTTCTCAGCACCACAAAACACTCACTTTTAAGCTTGCCAGCCATTTTAAAGTAAATTACAGATGAAAATTTTGTCTGTGTACTGACTTTGGGACTCAAAAATACATAATTTGACCACATTTTGGTACGACTGAGGCGGTCGTAAGTGTGGGTGGACGTAAATCGAGTCGGTCGTAAGCCGGGGACTACCTGTACAGTCTCTCCTCGACTTACGACGTATTCGACTTATGACAACCCGGACATACGGCGGCCCTGTTAATTAATGTAGTCTCTATGCTTAACCCTTAAGCCCCGGGTTGGGGTGCTGCTGGCAGTAACCCCCCTGCGCCTGCAGGGTTAAATCATGAAAAAAAAAACTTCCAAAAATAACTAAAAAATAAATAAATAACAAAAATAGCGGGAAAATAGACGGACATTCTGGAACGTCACCCGGGGCCTAAGGGTTAAAAAATTATTGAGGTCCCTTGTGCATTCAGCTGACTACATTAAAGGTAACACTATTAATTTTTCAGTATTGATTACTTTAACTGTACAGTCAACCCTTGGTTATCACGCCTAATTGGGACCGCCCCGAGTACGTGATAACGAAAAATGCGATAATGAAAGTACAGAACCTATGGGATTTATTCTAATTGGTTCCAGGCACCCAAGACCCAGCCCCAATTTTCCCATTTTACGACCATTTAGACCCACTAAAGATATAGATAATGTTATGGTAAGTATCAGAAACACACATAGGCATGGCTAGGTATATTACAAAGTGATGAAAAGGGTACGCTCAATACTGTAGTCCACAAAACATGTAGCTATGCTTTCTTTATTTGAGTCCCCCATCTGAGGGGTCCGTTTTCTCATCGCTTCAGGGCGCCTGAGTCCTCCGTTTTCTCTCAATCTTAGAGTGCACCCGAGACTTCGTTATTCCCCACCCCCCACCAACCCTCCCTACCAGATGTGTGGGAAAACCAGAATATTTACCTTTTTAGTAATAAATAATACCTCAAACTAAAGTTAGGATAATATAATTGACATTGCTGGATTCCTTGTAAGACCAGGAATATTTTGAATATAAATGTCATATATTTTGCACAAAAGATAACATATTTACTCAGAGTAAACATTATACAGTGGGGTATGCTATAACGAACGGATCCTACTACGAATATTCCTATAACGAACAGTTTTACCTATAAAATTGAGAATGCTATAACAAACGAAACTCCTACAACGAACATAATTTAATTTATTTATTTTTTTCTAATTTATTGTTTTATTATTACAAATATTAATGATATTCTTTATTTCAGGGGTTTAGATGCATATTTATGCACTTTTTTACAATTTTTTCAATTTTATATTATATTTTTCAGTGTTATGTGGTTGTATTTGGGGGCCTGGAACGGATTAATCCTATAACAAACGAATGCTATAACGAACAAGGTTCTAGAACCAATTAGATTCGTTATAGCATACCCCACTGTACCTAAAATTTGTATGTCTAATGCAAAATCTATGATGTTTATATTCAAAATGATCATCAAATTGTAAGAATTCCAGCAATGTAAATTATATTCTGGCCGGGTAATTTGCATGAATTTTATGAGCTAAATAAAAAAAAATAATATTATACTTCACCGCGTATATGAGTAGATGATCCATGTTAAGTGAAAGTTCGGTTCTGGCGAGGCACCGTGTATATGAGAAATCGCTTTAAGTGAAACCGTGTAAAGCGGGGTAATACTGTACTATGTTTTACATCTTTTAACCCCACATTTTCCCTCTTCAAAGCTCTATCCAATTTTTAATGGAGGAGAACTGGTGTCATCCCATTTGGACGATCATCTGTTTTATGCGATTTTTACCATCTTTGTTAGGTTATTTTAAATTGCATAAAGCAGACGATCGTCCAAGTGGGTTGTAATCGGGGAACTGGGCCATAACTAAAGAGCAAAGTACTGTACTTGCACAAGATTTGGTTATCACCAGTGCATAGGGCATAAAAAAAAACCGAGAAACCATGTTTCATTGCTGGATTGAAGAACCAATGTTTTCTGTATTTTTACCAAAACTTTGGTAATGCTCTGGAATAGTCTCACGGGTTAACTAGGCACTTCAGTTACTTTTTCTACCAAAGTTTAATGCCTTTTTGCCTCAAAAATTTCCATAAAATATTGAGGATTTATCTTTTTTATATGGTGACATTTTATTTGGATTTTTTTTTTTCATCACGAGCATTAATCTGCATCCACCTAACAACAATATTTTCAATACTGACATGATCGTTTCATGCACAGGAACACTTTTAAAGACTTTCCAGATACTACATTACAGTACTACCTTACCAGTACATACTGTATATGATTTATCGGAGATAAGATGACCAAACCAAACCTAATCTAAGATAGATAGGTTAGGTTAGTTCATCATAATCTTGGATAAAACATATACTGTACTGTAATGTTACAGGAGCTGGTAAGTTGTTCTCTGTATGGAAAAGTTGCTGGGAAGCATTCATGTGTAAGAAATGTTGTTCAGGACAAAATCTTCAAAATGTTTAAGTCATAATAACTGTTATTTCAGGCAACGTGCTCCGGTTGTTCTCTCAATTTTTTCCAACGGTATGAGATTATCTCCAGTGACAAGAAAATAAGTCTTACTGTGTATGAAATGCTCGCCGTGTAAACAGTGAATATTGCATTGCATGGAGGTACCTGTAGTACATCACCATAGATTAGCGTTGAAGACAAAAATTGCAAGTCCTTTTCATTTTCATGAGGTAAGAATGCATGGGTCTCATGAAGATTAGGGACCCCTACTTATTTCACCTAATGCTAACATAACCCCGGCTCAATTTAGCGTTAGGACACTTTTATCAGGTGAAATGAGCAGATTTTTTAGTCTTAATGAAGTCCAAAGGCATCTATCCTCTTAAAAAAAATTGCTTAACTTCGTGATTAACCTGTGATACAGAAGCACCAAAATTTTAATCCAGTATTCAATTACTATTGCAGTAGAACTAAAGCTGAGATAAGAGACAAGAATGCGAGCTGGTTGTGCCATCTGTGGGGACCTTTTCGTTCCGACAGAAGATATATCAGCAACACCATGTGGACATACATTCCACTCTATATGTATCATCCAGTGGATTGAAAGGTTTGAAGACCAGCTACTACTGGTTTTTTTTGTACTGAGAATATACTGAACAGGATATTTACACTTTGGGAACAAAGAGTAGGCTATTGCAAGGAGGTTGAATGGATGGAGGTGTCGTTTCCTTTGTATGTAACAGAGACTCGTGAGGGCAACAAGGCCACAGTTGCCGCAGCTACTTACAAACATACGTTGGTTACAGATACCTCTGCAGGATTTATAGTATCTTTTATTTATAATGCACATTATAGAGGGATCAACCAAGGAGGATGAAGTCACTTAGAGAAAAGCGCCGCCATATTGGTCAAGGCATCAGTCACACTCAGTGACTTCACTTGAGGCAGCTGGTGCCGCCTCCAACCATTCAACCTCCTTGGGCTATTGTGTAGGGTGAGTGAAAATAGGAAGTCAAATGAAGATTTATACTGTATTATAGCTACAGTATACACCCCTGTACTGTACTTTATAAAGTAGAGTAAACATTTTATACTGTATAAGCATCTTTTTCCAGCATGTGAATAAATTAAGACTTTTACTTTTCTCATTCAGTTTGAGGTTTAGGTTATACCAGTGGTTTATAGATCAAAGTGGTGTTCTTTTGACCTGAGGAAGATGATGAATAACTCAAATACAGGGGGTCCCCGGGTTAAGAATGGGTTTCGTTTTTGAGGACGTTTGTAAGTCGCTTTTGTACGTAAGTTGGAACATATGCTATAGGACTACCATACTTACAAGACAATGTTTAAAATCCCACTATATCACAGCCTAAGTCGTTATATACATCTAAAAGAGCTTAATTTAAGACAAAGGAAATAGAATGACAAAATACAGCTGCTCCTCGACTTACGACGGGGTTAGGGACCCAAATCCAGGTCGTAAGTCAAATTGGTCGTAAGTCGAAAACGCTTAAATAATACATAGAAAATCTAAAATGGGTGTCTCTTCTTCTCAGCACCACAAAACTCTTACTTTTAAGCTTGCCAGCCATTTTAAAGTGAATTACAAACAAAAATTTTGTCAGTACACAGCGCAATCACTAACGTTGGGACTCGAAAATATGTAATTTGACAAAATTTTGGTACGACTGAGGTGGTCATAGGTTGAGTATGTCGTAAGTCGAGGAGTAGCTGTACGGTAAATGAAGGTAAAAAAATAAGTCGTCAGGTAAATAAAATACTGTAAATTTCAAGTATAACCCCGTTCATATTGGCGGGGGTTCGTAAGTCCAACGTTCATAAGTCGAGGACCTCCTGTTTGCAAAAACCTGAAATACTTTAGCAAGTTAGGTAGGTGATACAACTGTAGTACAGGTGGCCTCTTGAGTTACATAATGTCCAATTTATGAACACCAATACTGTACATATAATTATGATCCCACTAGAGTACAATATACAGTGGTCCCTCGGTTAACGAACACAATTCGTTCCAGAAGGTCGTTCGTTAACCGAAACCATTGTTTCAATGGGATTTTGGGTAATTGGTTCCAGCTCACCGAAAATTACATACAAAGTAAAAAAAATGCAGTAAAGTACACTTACTTTGAGGTGTGTATGTAGAAGGCTCCTGGTTGATGATGATGATGGGAATTAGAAGTGGGGGTGGATGAAAAGGGAGAAGAGAAGGAAGTGGGGGTGGAAGAGAAATCACCCCATGCTTCGTGCTGTCATTTCACCCATAAAATTTTAAGTTCACTGGGTGTAATTCAAGATTATTATCTTTAAATCAACACTGCACTGCACTATATATTGTCAATATGTTAAATAAATTTCAGAATGACCAATAATTGTACTGTAAAAACGTAAAAATACTCTGTGTTCAAGAGACCCACAAGCAAGATGTTTCCTCCACTGAACAGAGATACAAACTGAGGCCTTGGTGGGTGAGTGAAGTGGCTGATGGGTGCACCAAAAATTAGTTCCCTGTACTGCAATTATATTAAATAAGTGTTAAAATGTCTAAAAATTTTAATATAAAACTTGGAAAATTATTGAATAGTACAACCTTCTTGATATTTACTCCAATTTTAACGAATGTAAGCCCTAGAACCGATTTCTGTATTGGTGGACTAATCTTCCAGCTGGTGAGCAAGCCAAAGCATGTCGAAACATTTTCGTAAAAATTTCGTTAACTGAAATGATGATTCTTATGGAAGGTAATTCGTTAACCGAGGCGTTCGTTAACCGAGGGACCACTGCACTGTGTTCATAATAAAAATCCAGCTCAACTTAAGAATGTTTACTGGTATACTTACAAATGTGTCACTACACTGTACTTTGTTCAGCAGCTCACCTCTGTACATTATTTATGGGCATTATTTACATTGTTTGTTATACTGTACGTATGTTGTTTGTGAATTTGCAGGTAAGAGTGGGTTTTATCCATTTTTTTGTTGCTAAATTAACATGGAAACTTTAGGGGATTTGAATAATTTTGTGATATAATCATATCACCTACTGTACTGCATTAGGTATCATACTGTATAATTAAATTTTTATTTTATGGCTGTTGAATGCATAATTGTATTTCCCAAGGTCAAAGTCCTGTCCTCAGTGTCGACACAAAGCTACATTGAAGAGTCTTGTTAAGCTCTTTTTTGACTCTTGTGGCGTTGATACATCTCAGGTGGATCCAGCCACTTTACAACAACAAATTGATGGCCTTAAGGTAATTAGTTCTTTTTAGTAGTAGATAAACTTAAGATATCTTATCAAAACTCTACCTTATGTATTAGAATTCTCACTTTAAGATTACTGAAAATCAAAAGAAAGTGTGGATATTGGAAGTGAACAGAAGTTTGGGGGTGTGGATATTGCTGTCACTGCACAAAAGAGGGTGAGTGGAAGCATTAGCTGACTTACTGCAATGTTCACACCAAATAAAAAAAACTGGAATTTAGAATGATGTAATAACTCGTCAGAGGTCGAACATGCAATTTTTTTATAGAGAAAGTACAGTGTCTCCAATTACTGAACTGTACAGTATATAATGGGAATCGATGTATTATTGCAGTAAAGTAAATATTATATTTATTAATATATTGATATTGGCTACCGTAAGTGTTTCATCCTGTTCACTTTGTTTCAAATCTCGTCCAGTTTCTCGTAAGTACATATTGGTATAAAATTGCTACTGTATTGTACAGTACTACTGTACATGTACTGTATTTCACTTATGTTTATTATTGGCTTATAATCATTGTGATCACCAAAAAATTTCATTAAAAACATGTTTTGTGACATTTGAAGAATTTTTTCCCAGAGGAATATATCTTAGCTTTTATAATGGGAGTCTATAGGAAAATGTGCTTTGGTTTACAAAAGGTTTTTAAGGAACAGAACCCTTCCATAAATTGGGGATTGCCTGTACAGTACTTAACAAGCACAATGGTAAGTCCAGACTGTGCAAAGCAAAACAGTCAGTCTAATGCTAAAAGAACAATAGACAAAATTCTTACAAAGGTAGCAAACTGAAAGAGAACACAGGATACAGAAGTGGGTTGAGGTGAGACAATAAAATGTAGAGGAGCACTAATATCAAAAGGCATGGAAATATTTTAACCAAGTGAGCAATTGGTACTGCGTTAAAAAACATGTACACACAGAATTGCAAGTGGCTGAAGCTGAAGAGAGGACAGATTCCAGTACTAATTGTAAATACACTGTAGTATGAGAAGAAGTTAATACTGTATATTAAAGATTAAGTGGTTCTTGTGTTTTAACTAATACTTTTAATTTACAGTTTCAGATAAGACTTAAGGAACAAGAGACTAAGAATTTGAATGAGAGCAATGAAAAACTAACGACGCAGCAGAGAGCTATCAGGTGAAATTCTGTAATAAAAAAATATAGTAAGATTATGTTAACCTTATACATTGTATAGTGTCTGCTAGAAATATTGATCCCTGTAAAATTTTCATTTGATTAACAAAAATATAATCTTAAGGATTAAATAATGTACAAAAAAAGATGCAAACTTTGATTTATATTACTGTATTTAATATTTTGGCATGTTTTCCTTTGATTTTAACACCAGTTGAAGTCAATTTGACATGAATTCAGCAAGCATTTTGACATAATCACATCTCATCTCTATTGCCTAGATCTATTTGATCTGCAGGCAAGGTACTGATGAAGTGTTCTGTATTGGCAGTTTGTGTTTCATCTGATTCCATCCATTCTATATGGGGTTTATGTCTGGTGAGTTCCCAGTTCACCCCAATTCTTGATTTTATTATTTTTTCTCTTTCTTGCTCCTTTCCCATTCGGTGTTGAATCGTTCATTTTGACGCATCTTGAAGTAGGTTGTGTTGGGCTTTCTTCATTTATACTGTAGACATTTGTGGATTCTTCATAATTTTTCGTGTTATAAGCAAGTCAGTGGCCTTGGAGGTCTTTCTGGGTCTCTCAGGAGACAATTTTTGAGATGGAATTGAATTGGTGGGAAGATTGCCTGCTCAGGTATTCAGTCTTAATTGTTGCTGTGCCTTGTCCCGGGTTTTGTTCAGAGGAAATTTTTCACTGGACAGAGCAAGGATATAAACCTTTTTCTCAACTGACATGTTCTTGGAATTCATCATGACTGTGCTGAGGGAAATGAATCTGGTTAGTGTTTTTTTTTTTTTTATTCTAATGAGAGTGTGGCAGAAACTGATGCAACCACCCCAGTACTATATACAGCTAAACACAGTACACGTGAAGATTTCATATACAGGTACTGCAGTATAGAGGCTGAAGGCACCACTGAATAGGCAGACAAAAAATTTTGCACTACAGTCAGATTGGCTGCCCGCCTATATGACTGATCTCTAATTTTACCATAAAGTGTTTCTTATGTAAATGGCATAATTTTTTGTGTGAACTCCATATACTGTATTGTTGCATTTCTCTTTGTCATTAACATTGCCTATGAAAGCAGACATTTGAGCAAATATTAAATAAACCAAATAAAAGTGTATGCATCATTCCTGAGACTGGTGCAGTAATAAACTGAGGAGGAAGTTGTTTAAAATAAATGATAGGTTTATTGGAGAGAGAAAGGCATATACTAAGTGAAGTGGTACATTGACTGAGTGACTTAGGTTGAGATTTTGGAGACACATAGGTATGGTATATCTTTGTACTGTAGTAAGGCTTTGACGAGACATCTTAGCTTGTCAGATAGGAAGAGGAGTGAGAGTAAAAAGGATTCAATTGAAGGTAACTGTGTATGCAGATGACATTCACCTGATGGTGTATGTCTTATAGAGGATGTACAGTCAGCCAAAGATCCAGCGACCCCACCCTGAGTCTCGTACTGGCAATTTTACCTGGCAATACACCTTTTCACATATCCGTTGAGACATTGTTACATAACTATTTGACAAATTTCATAACCGAATGACAGAACACATATCGAATGACAATCTAAAATAACTGTTCGTTCATGCTAACGGAAGTGATTGACATAAGTTATGAAGTTGACAGACGTGAACAATAAACCGACAGTCTACATATAGTTTGAGAATGTAACAGTTGGAGAATGACATACCACCAACAGTTATTTTAGATTGTCATTCGATATGTGCTCTGTCATTCGGTTATGAAATTTGTCAAATAGTTATGTAACAATGTTTCAATGGATATGTGAAAAGGTGTACTTGGTAAAGTAAGGCTGTATGTAAAGATGATTGTGATTGGTGGATCTATTTTCAGCTGCATTACTGTCAGGATAAATATTAAACAATTCAAAGGTAGAATTTTCATAATAATAAACTATTCATTATTTAAAATCATTAGAAGTTTCCAAAAGTTCGTATATGTGGTTAAATAATGTAGAAATTATATTAATGAATTCGCAACTCAACTACAATGAGGAACAAGGACTGCCACAAGATTCTCAGATCAAATTTTCTTCATTAATTAAGCAAATATAAGAGCATTTGGAAACTTCTCATGTTCTTAAATAACAAAGAATAGTTTTTTATTATAAAAATTTTACCTTTGAATTGTTTAATATTTATCCTGACAGTAATGCAGCTGAAAATAGATTAAATAATCACAGATATTTTACATACAGCCTTACTTTACCAAGTATTGCCAGGTAAAATTGCCAGTACGAGACTCAGGGTGGGGTCGCTGGATCTTTGGCTGACTGTACATTTATCCAGCCTGTTCATGGTTGCAAGTGGAAGATTTTGAAATAATTATTCAGTAGTAGGTTCTGGCCACCATCATCAAGGGACTTGCACTTTCAACCAGTAGACATTAGTTAGCAATTAATGTGTTTCATAATCCAAACTTTATTCTAAAATGGAATTTCTGAATCAGTTTCTTATTTTTGAGATATGAGACAGGAGGTAATATAGCCAAAGCCATTAGAAGGGTGAATTTAGAGTCTATGAACATCTGGGAAGAAAATCTAAAGGGTGTCAGTAAACAAATGCCTTGTTGTATTGCAAGAAACTGTGTTGAAAATAGACCAATAATTAAACAAATCCATACATTTCAGTGATGGTGACCTAAAGCATATCTTGCTCCCAATTATTGAGTATCTCAGATCAACCTTATTTTATATGAGACTTAAGATGTTGTCTGCTACTCTGCTATAAGTATGAAGAGTACTTATAAATTAGATAGAATATTGGGGGAAAAAATTACTTGATTGGTAAGCATTACTGTTTTGTTTCTAGGGAGGAGTACAAAACTATTGAAAGTCAACTGCATACCAAAGAAACAACCATCTTGGCTCTTAAGACTCAACTGAAGTTCATGGATCGCATTACTAAAGAGGCACAGAAAGCTAAGGAGGAAGCCAAAAATTTGAGAGGACAGCTAAAGGATTTGCAAAAGTAATGTCACATTTTTTAAAAGAACAATATAAATTTTTTACATATGCTGCTTTTTTATATATTGCTGTATATACAATGAGATAGGTTTTATAGCACAGTATATTTTCCATTAGATACTGTATTGTATGGGTAACAAGATTCTCATGCCTACTTTTCTTACAGCGTGGAGGGTCTAGTGGCAGGAACTGTCAAAGATGTAGAGGAAATGATGGAATCATATGCAGGAAACCCTGACAGCACAAGATCTTTAGCCACCTTTTGCTCTATACTAAAAAAGTAAGTTCGCTTAAAAAATGGAATTTAATAAGACTGTATTCTGTTCAGAAAGTATTGATCTTTTTACTTTTATTTTTTTTTTTCCTGCTACAATATTGTTAACAAAAATATGACTCATTATGCAGAACTTGTTTTTTATACTGTATCTCCACTTTTAACAAGGGAATTGAACAAGACAGTGGATGACAAGAAACGATTTAGAGATGAGGCATCATCACTTAGAAGTAAAGTTAAAGAAGCAAGGAGTATGTACAATAATGCTGTAACAGAGTTGGTGAGTTATTTTCAGTGTGATCTTAATTTTAGAAATTAAGCTTCATAATAAGTTGTGGTTTTATTTTCACCATAATCAGTCTTTTAAGTCTTTGTCATTATTAACAAAAGTTGTCTGTTACAGAATGTGTTACAGCAGGTAAACAAAAACTTACAGGATGATCTTATGTTTGTTGAAAAAGCAAACACTAGCTTGAAAAAGAAAGTAAATACCCTCGAGCAAGCTATATCATCACCTTCAGGTAAAGTCCGTCATTATATATTCTTGTGTCATCACCTTGTACACCTTTTCTCACATAGGTTGTCAGAAGTTTGAGTCTTTCCAGGTACAGTTATCCCCGATTTACGATCTCCCTATCTACGATATTTTGCTCGAACGATGGACATGTATTAAGACCACCCCCGTATTTACGATAACAAAATTCGCATGAACGATGGTCACCATCGGGCCAAAATAGCTGATGCACATAATATGGAACGCATCTCTCTGTGCACTTTTCAGCTGTGGTCTACCCGCTCACTACCATGTGGCCACTTGATGCACATGTCAGCTGCGGCTTACTCACGCTCCGTCATGCGGCCACTCGGTGCACTTGTCAACTGCGGTCTACCTGCACGCTGCCATGCAACCACTCAGTGCACTACAGTCCCAAGTTTTGTTCCATGTTGATCACCCATGCTCGGTTCTAGGACAATTGCCTCCCATTGCCATTGAATAACTGGCACAAAACATGGAACTAACTTAAACCTAACCTAACATAACCTAACTTAATTTTAACCTAGCCTAATTTTAACTTAACCTAACCTAACCAATTTTTTAATATTAAATATGACTGATCCACAATTTTTTTTCACTTAACCATAATTTTTTATCAATGTTTTTCTAATTACAGATTTTTAGTATTAAAAAAAAGGGTATGAGTTGTGCATTTTGTGTATATAATTACAGTGGTCCCTCGGTTAACGAAATTTCGGTTAACAGATTTCCTTCCATAAGAATCTTCAATTCAGTTAACGAACAAAAATTCGATTAACGAACAAAAATTCGATTAACGAAATCCTTATGAACATCACGTTTTGTTGTGAGCATCAGCTGATGGGCTAGTCTGCCAATTCAGTAATCTGTTCTATGTTTGCATTCGTTTCCAGTGGAGTAAATGTCAATAAAGTTGTGCTCTTTAATATTTTTTGCATTTTTTATATTAAAATTATTAGTCATTTTAACATTTATTTAGCATATTGATAATATTTGCAGTACAGGGAACTAGTCTTTTGTGTGCCCATCAGCAGCTTGACTCAGCCACAAGGCGTCAGTTGGGCTCTGTTGACAGTGGAGTGAGCATCTATTTTGTTGGTGTCGTGAATATTTTAGCATTTTTCATTGAAATTATTGGTCATTCTGAATTTAGTTAACGTATTGATAATATATAGCGCAGTGAACTTAAAATTTTATTGGCAAAATGATGGCATCAAGCATGGGTCCACTGAAAGGTGATTTTTCTTCCATCCCCACTTCCTTCTCTTCTCCCTTCTCCTCCACCCCCACTTCTAATTCCCATCATCATCATCAACCAGGAAACCTTCTACAGTACATACACACCTCAAAGTAAGTGTACTTTACTGCATTTTTTTTTTTTTTTTTACTTTGTATGTACTTTTCGGTGAGCTGGAACCAATTACCAAATATCCCATTGAAACAATGGATTCGGTTAACGAACGACCTTCTGGAACGAATTGTGTTCGTTAACCGAGGGACCACTGTATTACTACAAATAAAACATGAAAATAAAGAATTAAATCTTAGTGTTTCATGTGTTGTACCAGTTATTCACTGACAATGGGGGGCAGCGAACTCCGTAAGTGAGCCCGTAACTTACAGCACTTCCTTAGGTGCTGTAACACACTCAACCCGGATATAGTAATCGCTATTTCCTGATTGCATAAGAAAGATTAATAATATATGTTGTAATAATGCTTGTTAGACTTGTTTTATCGTAGAATAATGAAGATAATGTTTTGTACATCAACATGCCAACGATATTATAGTTTGTCTTTTTAGTTAATTTTTTTACGATAAGAAGAGGCTTGAGTGTTTCTATTTCTCGCGGAATGGAAGAGATGCAGCTTGTCTTCTTACAACTTTTCAAGTAATTTGTACCAATTTTTATTGTCCACATATATGGTAAAAAAAAATTATGACTGAGTAAACTTGCAGACAGACTTTATTAATGTGGTATAGCTGTAAATATCCTTCAGTAATGAAAGCCAATTATGAGGTCAAGTGAACATTTTTACCTAGACTCCACCTTTGTTTGGACCAAGTTATAACAATTTATTCTGCCAAATATCCAGTAAGTACCCATGACTTAGAGTTAAATAATACCTTACTCAATCTAGGTTCATCAAACCTAATAAAAAAGGAGGTAAAAATTAAGTGGTACATCATTTTTTTTTCTTGGAAAAAGAATAATGTTCATGGGTTTTTTTCCGATACATTCAGTAGTAATTTTTTTGGCTGCAAAATTAGTGAAATGTATCTTATCCTAACCTTACCTTACCTTACCTTATCCATCCTAACCTAACGTTACCCTACCTAACCTAACCTAAGGAAGCCGCAACGCACCTGACAAACAATTAAATTCTCGAGAAGAATTCCAAATTCTTTTTAAAAGTATACATTTGCAGAGTTAACAAACTTTTTATAATCTATAAATCTGTTGATGATATATAAATGTAACTTAGGATGCCAACATTATGCATTTTAACCTTTATGCATTTTAAATTTAGGTTAAGTTAGGTAAGGCATGTTAAGGTTAGGTTAGGTAAGGTAAAGGTTAGGTTAGGCAAGGTTAAGTAAAGGTTAGGTTATGTGGTTAATATATAGGACTAACCCGCGAACGTGTTACTTGTATTACTGTTTATTTTCTTTCTTTATTTACATCAGTGAGTTCTGATATGGTAATCTTTACTTGTGCAAATGTCTCGTTTTGTATATAATTAGGCTCCTAGGCGCTCACTAGTTTGTCTTCCCAGCGGTAATGAGTCCACCCTCTGCTGTGGCGCTTTTCCCCGGGCCTGTGGCAGTTTCATTTTCAGCATGACGCGTGAAGGTTCTTGCGTGTCTTATATGGACGTACAGTAATTTGAGAATTTATGGATAAAGACAACAAGACACTTCAGTTGTTCAAAGACCATGGCATTGTTCCTTCAAATAGAGACTGTCCACACTGCGGAAAATTTTTTTGTTTCAGCACTTCGTCAACACTTGACGTTTCCCGCCATCACAATAAATCACTCCGCCGCCCGGGCTGCATGAACGCAAATACGGCTGTATCAATTCACGTACAGAAAATGCCTTAATTTCACCATGGCATAGTAAATTCCTTCTGTTTAATATATCGGGGTGTCTTGGGGGGCTTATTTTGTTCAGTGGTTAACCATTATCCTCAAGTATTACTCAAACATAATTCCATCTTCACTGATGACATTTGAAGTATGTCTAGCAACTATCGCATGCGTTGATCTCAGCTGATTTCTCCTTCTCTTGTGATTGGTTGATGATTTTGTTAACTGAGCAACGATTGGCCAATCTACCTTCGGACAAGAGAACTGAATTTACAGGGTAAACACCAGAGTTACGGACTGCTTACGGGACTGTAATTAAATTTTCAGTATGAGAAATTTACGGGACTGTAAGGAGTCTGTAAGTTAAAGTACTGTATCTCTACTACTGTACGTAACTGATGCGATGTTTTGAGTATGTGGCCCCTGATACCCCCATGCTCATGATCGTGTACCTCAACGATTACAGGCAACCCCCACATTACGGAAAGCCAGGTTACGGTAATTTGCCCTTGTGGAATTTTTAAATTATGACCAATAAATTCAAAATGCCGCCAAAAAATTCACCTCTACGTAATTTTTACAAGACAGTTGGAGGGTGGCTCGCCTCGCCCAGAACAACGACAATGGCGCTGCTCTATTAGTATTCTTTCCACGGCTTGTGTTTAGTTATGAGTATGTATCCAGGACTGTATTTGCCCTTATGGAATTTTGGTTAATTTATTACGTTTTCCAAAAGAAAAAATCTCAATATAAAACTTAAAATTTCACCAAAATTCTAAAATTTTATTTTGTGCTGATTCTTGGTAATAGCTACAAGACAGTACACACCAACCCAGCAGCCAGCACAACAACAATGGCCCTGCTCAGTTTGAATTCTTTCTCTAGCTTGTGTTCAGTTTTGCATCTATGTTACCATGTACCCTTAATCAAGAGGCGGTGTTTTTTTTTACTTTAAAGTGGTTTGCCTCTGATGTGAACATTATGTGAGCAGTGTTTGTGGTGTCTTCATTTCTTAAGGCTATTTATGTAAGGGAGATTGAGGCACAGTCTTCTAAATCCCATGTTTATTTCCTGCTCCCTTTACAGTTAGTCTCCATATAAATCCACCTCCCTACAGTGAGTCTACATATAAACAATCAACATTTAAAGTAAATAAATACAATTGTTGCTTTAATATAAATTATTCCTTTATACAATTCTTTGTACAGTAATATATAACAGTGATGACCACTATCATTGTTTTTACAATATCATCCTTTGATCTGTTTTTGTGAAATAGGCTTTTGCCCAGTTTTTGTGACTGAAGTGAGTAGTGTAACTTTGAAAATGCCTGGGAAGGCCAAGACACCCAGGAAAACTGTGTCCTTGGAGGTGAAGCTCTGAGAGTCAGAGTGAAGTCTCCACTCCACCTTCAAGAGTCCTCTTAGCCTCAAAGGGGACGTATGATGACAACCAGGCTTGTTCTTAATGATGTGGCCACTGTTGTTTAATTTCATTTTATGTCTATTATTATTGTAGGACTTTTATTTTCAGTGATATAACGTTCCTGATTTAAAATATTTCTACCTGCGATGGGATTTTCAGGAATGTAACCCCATTGTAAATAAAGGAATACCTTCAAATTTTCAAGTAAACTGACACCATAGCACATGCTTAGCACACTCACCTATATGTTAATACCATTGTTTTGCTTTCCATTAAAGAGTGAAGATTGTGTTGGCAACACATCAATGCTTACTGAAGACTTGTACATAATGGCAGTGTTTATTTGGATGGCTGTGAGTGATGTCATATCTATGATAGGAAAATTTTAAGACAGTTGGGAGTAAGGTATTGCAGTACCTTCTTTAATAAAGAAGAATTATGCCAATTCAAGCATGAAGTTTACGAAATGGCAGTTTGTAGTAATTATCTGGGAAAAACGTTGAAAATTAAGGTTGCTCACTTAAACATGACATCATACAGTTGTGTGTTGACAATAGATTAACACAAGAAGAGCTTGAACAAGCAGTGCTTCTATACTTACGATGGTTCACAGCATGAAATACAGTACATGTACATGAAATGACGCCTCGTGGTGTAAATCTGGTTTAAGACGCTGAGGTGCTGGGAAGGAACTGACATCTAATGGCTGTCTATGTGACACACCAACTCAAGCATTAAATTTCCAGGTGTTTGTTGAATTTTAATCATACAGTGTGGCTTACATCAGAGATACTACTACAGTACTCTTAAACAATTATATTTCTCTGCCTAGAATTCATCTTTTTTCCCATGCATAATTTTATATGTTCCCTTGAACAGGTCATAAAAGGCCTTACCCTTCAATATGGAGGACATTTTACTTAAGGGAGAAAGTAGAAAGGCTGTTATAAATTTAAATAAGAAAATAAAATACAATGTTTAAAACAGTTTTGAAATTGAGAATATTTGACATACCAAAAAAAAAGACTTGTGTATGTGACTAAAGTAAATCAGCATACAGGTATTCAGGTTTTATTTATGATAATTATGTAAACTGCACCATTATTTCTTATCAGTCTTGGGTAAGTTTTGTATTTATTTATTTTTCAATTATTTATTCATGTATTTCTTTTATTGTACTGTACAATACAGGTATTTGTATTTTTTCATATCTTGCAGTCCTCTCTAATAAATATATAAAAAATCCTCCCATAGGGGACGCAATGAATAGTGCGTTACATCGCTTGATAGCTGAGAGCCCTGCACCAGCAGAGCTGAAGCGTCCACACACCACCTGCTCTGGTAGTGATGATTCATTTATAACTCCTGAGGTTAGTAACTATATGCTCTGTAACTGACTGTATTGTTCAGGAATGAAACAAACTGGTGTTTTTATGCACATGGTCCTATTTATTCTCTAGTAATACACTTTATCATAGTTTTGGCATTTACAGACAAACTCCGTGTTATTTCTTTTAGGCTTTGTTTTTAAGTTTCAGCTTTTTTTAGATATATAAAATAATCTTTGGAAATCAGGTACTGTAGTACAAACAACGGTGGAAGAACTTAAGGCTTTGGCAATGTTTTTAAGGTTCTTTTCATTTAGAACTAAGTAGATGGAATTTAGAAACTTCCCTCATCACAGAGTTTTTATGTGTTATATTTTGTATTATGTGCCACAATATGGGAATAGGCAGTCCCTATGTTATGAACAGGTTACATTTCTTGGAGGCAAATAAAGTGATGTTAAACAATATAAAGTGCTTAACCCTTAGGCCCCAGGTGACGTTCCAGAACATCTGACCAGCGCACCCTGGGTGACTTTCCAGAACGTCCGCCTATTTTCCTGCCATTTTTTTTTATCTCTGGGGGGGGGGGGTACTGCCAGCAGCACCCTAACCTGGGGCTTAAGGGCTAATGTAAAAAAAAAAGTTTTTTTATTTATTTTTTCTAAAAACCAGTTTTTGTGATATATAGTCCAGAATGCATCGTCTAGCTTTACACCTAGGTATGTAAATGCCGAGCATTAACTCGCCAGGCCAATATATAGACAGTTAAAACATCTATTAATTACTTAAATACGTAATTTTAGGAGGACACGTCAGTACCTGGCATTTAATTGCAATTCAACCCTGCCCGTACAAAACAGCATTAATATCCAATATATATCAAATATTATATAAATACTGTAAATAATTTGATGTTAAACAATGTTAAGAAATTTTGAAAAGGTCATTTGATTATGTAATGCTAGTTTTTACTCAGTATAATGGTTAAGTGGTCTTTTATTCTTTTGAAACACCAATTATGGAGCATTTCTGTCTTTAGTTGCAGAGTGGGGACCTTATGGGTTCCCTTCTGATTTCAGCTTTTCTTACTCTCCAGCCATGTATTTACCAGTACTGTACCTAGTTTGGGATTGGGAGATGATTTAACCTGACTCTTCTCAGCAGGAATATACAATATTGTCCAATGCATATTGAGGCTCTAGGAGTCTAGATACTGACAGCTCTTTTTCCTGAAACTTCCTGGATAACACCATAGAACTATGGTAATGGCCAGTGGAGATTAAACTTCCCAACCTTTATAGATGACATAAAGCAAAGTCTTCTCACCTAGTGATGCATATCTGTTTAATCCAACGAGTTTTTGTAGCACTTAATTTTCTTGTTGGGTTTTGATTACAAGAGCTGCCTGACTTCAGGGCATGGCTAATTATGATGAACCAGAATGCTCAGATAGCCTCCCTCCTCCCTTGGGTTAGTAGATCAATCAACTGGAACTGAAGAACCTGTGGGAATACTGGGTCATATGATCCAGATATTCTAAGGTGGTCAACATAGCCTTTGGTATGGATTATCCTGACTAGACAAGCTCAGCTCACAAAGACCTCTGAGTTCCAGAGAATAACTGGTACACCTAACACTCCTCATTTGAGGCCGATGTGGAAAATAGAAAGTCATAAACCATTACCTTTCCCTCTCTCCTGCATTACTGTTATTATGAAGGTTTTTAGAAAGTAAATACTATATTGAGTGATTTAGTAATTGTGCTGACACTAAATTCATGCACATACTGAGATTTGTCAACTAACTTATGATTCCTTTTAATTTTTGTGTTCTGTATTGAATATTTATTTATATTTCTGAGTTTGAAATCTCCAACATAATAGGATATTCAGCTGTATATTATAATTTATTTTCATTTTAGGAGACAGTAGGGCTTATTCGGGTCTCATTAATTTGTTTTTTCCAGAGTATAATGTGCATGACATCTTGTATTAATGAATTATTGTTTCCTTAACCCAGAAGAAGACTCAAGTTCCACAAGTATACTGTATTTCTGTGACTGCGGTATTTTAATTAATAGTACAGTATACAGTACTGTAGCATATGGAATTGCAGGTGGTGCGTAAAGTGGCTCGATGTGAAACAGCGTCTGAATCAGATGTTGTTGGTAAGGCTTTGTGCCTTGAATTTTCACCACCATCATCAACCCTGCTTCATTCATCGCAAGCTAAGCCAAAGGTATTGAGATATCAAATTTATTAATTTTAGCAAACTCTTATGAATATTTTTGTAGTATCAGTGTAATGCCTACCGAGCCTATGAGTTTACAACCCAGACTAACCTGAGGTATTGACGGCTGGCACTAATTAAGCTCAATCCCTCTTTTATTTGTATTTTTTGCTTTATATATTACCTAAACTGTAAGTTGTGGATAAAATTTAAATAAACTTATGGGTGGTAAACACTATAGGGATATATAAAACATCCATAGCGTCAGTGAGAGTTACAGAATGAATTGTTAGTTTAGTAATCTCCCCGTTAGCCGGAATTCCCAATCCCCGGAACTTTCTATTAAACCAGAATGGAAATCGGGTCTTATAGATTTTTTTTTTTTTTTTTTTTTTTATTATTATTAAATACAGGGCTGCCTCACTTATCGCAAAGGTTACGGGCATGAAACTCATTGTGAATATCGAAATTGCGAATAGCTGAGCAATTTCTCCCATAAAAAATAATGTAAAGAGGGGGGATACGGGCATCACGGTGGTCACGACGGTCAGATTTCAACACTTGTTTTACTCAATACATGTAGAACATAAAATAAATTAAGAAACAAGGGGTACTTTACATGTTTGAGTGTGTGTGTGTGTTTGAATGTGTGTGAGGTGAGTTTTAAACGTAGACTGTTAATTTACCTCTGATGTGCTGTGTTGTTTGCTTGCTGAAGTTGACATTAGGGGAGAGGGTGAAGGTTTACTGGGGTGAGAGGAGGCTGGGGGGTCATCCGCCACCTCACTTTCCTCACTGCTAGGGTCATCAGCCACCTCACTCTCCTCACTGCCAAGGTCATCAGCCACCTCACTCTCTTCACTGCCAGGGTCATCAGCCACCTCACTCTTATCATCACTGCTGGGGTCATCAGCCACTTCACTCTTATCATCACTGCCAGGGTCATCAGCCACCTTAACTCTCCTCACTGCAAGGGTCATCAGCCACCTCACTCTTATCATCACTGCTGGGGTCATCGGCCACCTCACTCTCCTCACTGCTAGGGTCATCAGCCACCTCACTCTCATCATCACTGCCAGGGTTGTCAGCCACCTCACTCTCCTCACTGCCAGGGTCATCAGCCACCTCACTCTCATCATCACTGCTAGGGTCATCAGCCACTTCACTCTCCTCACTGCCAAGGTCATCAGCCACCTCACTGCCAGGGTCGTCAGCCACCTCACTCATTATAGCTGTCAATTTGCACTGAAAGCTGTTGTTCCCCACTGCCTTCTGTTGAATCTTGCGTTGCGATAAACGTGTTTTAAGGCGCTGGGTCTGGTCATCAATCCACATGCTAAACATATCCGCTCCATACTCTCCATCTTGGCATCACGGAACCTCCTCACCTTCGTAGCCGTCAGTGGTGTTGCAGACCCGGCCATCGCCTTGATCTTGTCGGCGCTTTTAACTATAGAATGCACCATAGAGGGAGTCAAGCCGTGCACGCACCCAATCACTGACGTTCCTTCTCTGTGTTCATGTCTTTTTACGAAATCCAATTTCATGTCCAACGTAACTGCCGCACATGATCTCTTAGCAACACTGCTGGGAGTTTTAGTAGCTGGTCGCTTAGGCATTGTGAGATTACACAAAACACAACTGCGAGATCACACAAAACACACGCCAGAACGTGTGAGATTGAGGCGAGCGGAAGTGTATGGCGGAGGAATACGCGGTTGAGGCAAGCGATTCAAAATTTTTGCTCGTAATGGAAATGGGTAACAATATATTGATTGCGGATAAACGGGGTAACGAATATCGAGGCTATGAATAATGGGATTTGCCTGTATACCTGTACAGTTGTTTCTCTACTTACGAACGAGTTACGTTCCTGAGGCTTGCTTGTAAGTCCAACTTTACTCTTGTAGATAACATATTGTAAAAAATGAAAAGATTATGGATATTTAGTACAGCTATACCCTTTAATACAGCCTTTAAACCTGGATCACTCTTCTCCTCTAAGGTAATGTTTCTTCAAAATAATCCAGTCTCATCCACATTAAATACCTGTTCTGGCAGGTAACCCCCATCAGTGATGATGTTTGTATCTCCGAAAGTTTGTAAGTTCTTAAGTAGAGGAGCGCCTGTATACAAAAAAATAATTAGAAAATTAAAATAATTAAACATTAAAAAAAAGGACGCAGTTTGTCGTGATAGCATCACTACTGTTCTCTCACTCTGTCGATTGTGTTTTATTGCCATTTAGACTTGTTGAACTTATTTAACATTGCCAGTAATGTGACAATGTTGTAGGCTGACATACAGTAGCATACATATTTTTGCATTATTATTGAAAAAATTAGACAATAACCATGACCTCTAAGAAAGTGTTTGGTGTCTTTAAGGGTGGTGAGAATGTTAAGCCTAAAGCCTTATCAGTGAACGAAAAATTAAAGGTGATTGAAAAACTAGAAAAGGGTGCTACTCCCTTGCAAACATGAGCTGAATACGGAATTTCAAAGCAGTCACTGTCGGATGTACGAAAATCAAAAGATAAGTTGAATAAATATGCCTTGAAATTTAATGTGGACCAGGAAAAATCTGGCATTAAGAGAATGAGGACTTGGAAGAGGCAGTGTATAAATGGTAGGTACAGCAACGTGCAAGTGAAATAGCTGCCAGAGGTGTGGAAATCCAGGCAGCTGCTGAAATGTTTGCAAAACATATGAATGTAAAGGATTTTCATACTAGTGTTGATTTGTGTTTATATTTCGAAGGCCCCACCATATTGAGAATAAGAAAATATGTGGTAAGAGGCTCAGTGCTGCTATAGATGCTGTGGATCCATTTAGGGGAAGGTGAAGGACTTAATGGAAGCCGAAAACTTTCAATTATGCCAACTGTACACTGCAGATGAAACTGGACTCCTCTGGAGAGCTTTCCCAGAAAATACACAAGCCTCCAGAAGCGAAAAAAGTGTGCCTGGTAGGAAACTTCCAAAGAACGAGTGTCTGCATTGCATTGTGCAAATGCTGATGGGAGCCATATGCTTATACCTGAGGCTCTAGGAAAGAGCAAGAAACCTCGTGCAATCAAGGACATTATGCTGAGGCTTCCTGCCCAATACTGTAACCCCAAGAATGCATGGTTTACAGGAGCCATAACCTCAGACTGGTTTTTCAAACATGCTGTGGTGAAGATCAGGCATAAGCAGGTGGAAGATCTGAAAATCCCTGCTGATGAAGTGAAGGCTGTCATCCTCTTTGGTAATGCTCCCTCACATCTCAACATAAAAAAGCTGTGTAACAGGGATGGAAGGATCAGGTGCCAGGCATTGCCACCCAACACCACCTCTGTCATACAGCCAATAGATCAAGGTGTTATTTATGTTGCAAAAAGGCTGCACCAACACAAAATTTTGGATAGGGTGATGGTGGTGGAAGAGACAAGCAAGGATCGTGTAGAGGACACAAGAGGGCAGAGGACCCTCAGAAACTTGAAGTTATATCCATGCTCTCTAATTTTGCTGCTTCTGCCAAAGAAATCAAGGCAACAACCCTCATCAATGCCTGATGAGCATGATTTTGAGGATGTGGAGGCTTGGCTGGAGGATGATCTTGGATACCACAACTTGACAGAGGACAGAGCTAGGGACTGCCTGGCCACTTATAGAATTTACTCATCAGACTAAAAATGAAAAAAAAAAAATTAGCCTATTAAAATCACTTATGGCACTTAAGGGAACTTGTCATACAGTACCAAAGAAACAAGGTTGCTGCAACATAGATTGACACTTTTTTCAAGCTAAGACCCCCACCCAGCAATGCCTCCTTGCCCTCACCATCAACCTCTTTGTCAGAGGAGGTTCCTCTTCATATCCTCATTTCTGACTCCGACTCAAAAGTGCCTTCCATTTTTGGGTGTAAGTGTACAGTACTCTGTGTAGATTAGTTTTTTTATTAATTTGATTAAAGAAACATGTATAGTCGGCCACAGGAATAAATATACACACTGTAGCTGTAAGGTCCGAAAATGGTCTGGTAACGTTGAAACTGTGCATCCAGACGCATGATGAAACTCAGCTCCCCCCACCTGTTATCTCTAACTATTTTCTGTTTCCCCTTCTTTAATCTTCTATTTACTCCTCTTCCTTCCTTTACTAATCCAAACATCAGTAAAAAGAAAAAAAGGTAGGGTAAGAGAAAAAGTGGAGGAGGAGGAGGGAGATGTACGATAACAGCAAGCCCATTCGGCAACAAGTTTACTACCATTGGATTCAATATATTACTTGTAATATAAACACAAGACACAAGTAAAACATTCTCAACAAATGTATTTATAACATATATGTAGGAATAAAACATAAATTACCGGTCATTTTGTAATTTTGTCTGTTCTGTTCAGGACAGTTACCAGATAATTTGTCTCAAACACAAACCAAAGGTGTATACTTATTCTTGTGGCCGACTGTACGTTTTTCATAAAAATTGGATACCTAGGATACCTACGGTATGTTAATGCCTAGCAATAACTCGCCAGGCCAACATACAGGCAATTAAAACATCTAATAATTACTTAATACATAATATTAGGAGGACATGTCGCTGCCTGGCATTTCATTGCAATTCTCAAAACCCCCTCTCGCATCCTAGCTGGGAGGGGGAGTGACATGTTTGACAGTTGGCGCCGAAGGACTAGTGAAGTATTTATTTGTTTATTTATGTCCTTTAGATTGAGTTTTTGTATTTTGCTTATAAAATGTCATAGAAGTGACCTGGGAGAATATAATTTACATTGCTGGAATTCTTATAAGATAGTGATTAATTTGAATGTAAACATGCTATAGTTTGCACTAGACAAAAATTTTAGTTATCAGTTTGTACATTATTTTGATTACATGTTCAGTACAGCTTTGCCCTTAGGACAGTGTGTGCATGTAAACGAGTTTCAATAAATGAATAAAGTTACATAATCAAGCCAAAAATATTAGTTGAAAAACTTTATATCGACAGAGCTTGGATGGCTAA